TATCTCTGTCAGTTTTGGTATATATACATTATTGTTTCTGCAGTCATCCTAGTACCAAGACAGCAATGTCATGTAGACACATCATAAATACCTGGGCACACTGTGGGCTATAAACAACACAGGAGCAGTATTGGCCTACAAAGTGGTATAAAATGTGCGAAATCAGATTTCCTGCAGTGGTCTGCTTATCAATAAATGTTGATATGCATATCATCAGAACCTGCTCGCCAATATCTATACAATGGAGGTGTTTTCCGGATCATATATACCCTGCATAATGTATAAATGGCCAATGAATGCGGTTTAAAGAAGGCTTCACAGGGCCTGATCCTGCCGGCCAAATAGGCGCCCCAAGCGTGATTTGGTGAAGTCCAATGGGCGCTAGTAGATCGCGCTGGGCCAGCGCGATCTACTAGCGCTCGTGGTACTTAGAAATTTTTTTGAAAAGCAGCCGCTTTTTGGCAGTATTTCTCTTGCTGCTTCACCAGTTCTCATCTATAAAGCACACATTATATATCATTCGAAAGCCCTTTACAAGCTCTACAACATGGTGCTGTTATGGTCTTGATTTACACAAGATTGGGGAATAGAAAAAGGAAATACTTCAATTGCAGTCTTTTAATCCAACACAGAGCAGATAACCTGGGTTTTAATCACTCTAGTAACTGCCAATGATGCAAGAAATAGAATAATATATATGATGTCACTATAACATGTCCTATGTGTACACATCAGACCCATCAAATCCTTCATTAGTGTTCTAGACCCTTCACTGTTATGAGCACATTTGCTAGTAATGTAAATTATATAGATATACCCTTATACTATAATCTATATGATGTTAAGAATCTCTCTAGATGCTTTCTGTAGCCTGCATTTGAGTGCACATAGGGCGGCAAGCATGTAGTGCCACCTAGGGTTACATAGACGCCCACTGGGGAGCATTAGAGCCTCATTACCAGATGGTCAGAGTGGCTGTGTGCAGTGATCTAGTGTCTAACCCTAAAATTCCTAATGGAGGAGGACCCTAACCCTAATTTTGTAAGTGGAGGATGTATGTGGTGCCTATTTCCAAGCTAATGGCTGATTAGCGGAGTTTTAAAATATTTTCCCACGGGGCTCGTTTTATGTGTCGCGAGTTGGCAGGAAAGTCCCTACATAAGAAACGATTTCTTCGTTCCTCATCAATCGTAAAAGGAAATACCTCAATTTCAACCTTATAATGACAATATTTCCTTTGCTATTTCAACATTTCTCATCCATATAGCATATATTATACCTCATCTAGAAGCTCTTTACAAGCACTGCATCATGGTGCTATTATGGCATCCATTTGTTTCAAATTGCACTCTCAATTCAAGACATACCTCATCTTTACCGTTTTATGTATTCTAGGCCAGGATGCATGCATGAGTTCATTTCCTCAATTGCCTCAGTGACTGGCAATAATGGATGGCATGCAAAAACAGATTTCACCCTGTATGTCAGTACATAACACCTCAACTGATAGCTGACTAGCCTCTTGTAGTGGCATATGGCATATAACTACTACTACCAGATTATAGCTCTGAAAGGAAACTAAGGGTGTAGTGCTTGAGCTACACTATATCATGTGTTAAAGTCATGTTTTGATACAGAGCATAGCCTATAGGCATATACAGTAGTGGGCAGTGAGGGGCACATGTGCTGTGCAAGCTAGGGTTACCCAAGCGCCCAGGGAAGAGGCTTTACATGTTGTAAGAGTTGTGATTAGAACTGATCTAAGGCTAACCCTAAGCTGTGCTATTGGAATCCAACCCTAACCCTGTGAGCATTACAAAATTTTGTATGTGGCGCCTATTTCAAAACTAACCTCTGATCAGCTGGGTTCCAAATTTTTTTCCCACGTACACGACTTGAGTTGGCAGGAAGGTCACCCCATAAGAAACGATTTCTTCGTTCCTCATCAATCGTAATGTATCAACAGAGAGCTATGGATGAGCAGAGTCCATATATTTAAAAATGACCTGGATGTGACTCATGCAGCTGCCACTATACACAGTACAAAATCCTATTAGTGCCCAATTGGAAAGAAAGCGCCCAAAGCACATGACCTGATGACATCATTGCCTCCCCCCAAGTGTCATATACCACCAGACTCAGAATTTCAATCTCTACTCCATGGTACTGTCTATATATTTAGTAATAAAATCTGGAAGGAGCTCAAACTATAATAAATGCAGTATTGCAGCTGATGTGTGGCATTGCACCATATATGACAATCTGATCAGGCAATGAGGTCACATAATCATGCTTATGGAGTGTGTTCAATGGGGTAATCCATGTTTGAAGCATCAAATGATCATAAAAGTGCCTAAACACATTGTCTTGCTGAATAGTGCCCTGTTGCCCTTCAAATAGAGGGGATACTGTGCGCATAAAAGAATTACTTCCCAAAACTTCAATGAAATAAATGTATTATGACATGATTTCCATCTAAATAATACAATCAGGCCATTTATTGAAGGCCTATTCAATCAAGGTCTTTGATCAAGGTATGTCTGATCCATTACATGGCATAAAATTAGCTACCAAGATGAATGTCTTAACCTCCTACTTAAAGTTGCCTAGGCTTAAGGGCTAATAATCACAGAAAATCAGCCTCAATCAATGTGTCAATGGCATGACCATTATATAAAATCAATAAAACTACACTCATGGTAGTAATGCGACTCTAGTTACTGATATTGTATGGATTATAAACTGACCTGCTAATGCTGAGAGATGATCAAGAAATGCTATAATAGTGTCTTCTGCAGAGCTGAATAACTAGTTGTGGAATTAAATGAAGTTTGGGTTGAGCCATGTTATAAAATGAGAATATTTGTGTCTTGGTGAGAATTGTCAAGTGACATATCTGATTGTTATAGCTGAGTACCCTGGGCAGTTAAGGTAAGGTTGGATCATTGATCTACTTGAATACTGTGCCATCATTATACTATACCAGTGGAGGAAATTCCCTGGTTTATTCATGCAGTGCCTTTGATAGCATCTATGTTAGGATGCATCAATTCAAGTGCTATATCAAGTAATGCATTTTTTGAATACCTTGAAGACAATAAAAAATGCTCAAAACCAAAAATGGGAGTTTGGATGTCTGAATTTTTTAGCGGATGACAGCAGTGGAATTGATACAAGATCAATGCATATGGATGATGTGGATTGTTCAAAGGCTCATATCTACTACATATATCAAAACAGCATCCATAGTTTGCTCTGGGCCAGATCTAAATGCATTATCAATCTGAATTCTTAGCCCAACTATATGAATTATACTAAGATATATGTACCCTCATCAATCGGACCTGCCAGTTATGGCCCTCTCCAGCCAAGTTACCTGACACATATATTTTGGCATAAAAGTAAGGACATCAGTGTGAAAAAACTTTGGCAGCACAAATGTGATCAATGTGATCAATATGTCTGCATTTTCAGTCCATCTGCAAAGCCCAAGGTGAATGCCACAAGATGTTAGGAATACAGAAATAAACAGAAAGCAGAAACTAAAAAATCTGATATATTCCCCCCACCCCCAGCAAAGATACAGAAAATGTGTTTCGCGCATGTGGGCGCTTATTTCTGCGGATAACCGCGCTGGGCTCCCCGCAGTGTGCAAAGAACGGGTGCTTATTTCTGTGTCGTCCGCGCAGCCATGCATATCTGCATCTCTTGCTTCCTTCCATCATTTTGGTCCCCTTCCTGCTATCATGGCACACCACCCAGTCTCCCGAGATATCAAAGCTCGGATCTCTATCCTGTACTTTGATCAGGGACGATCTATTGGGGATATCTGTGATGTTCTAGGAATCAAGAAGAGCACCACCACCCTCATTCGCACCCTTCATCGCATTCACTACTCTTCTAAGGCTGTCTCAAAGGCAGCCCAAGAGAGAAACAATACATATCTTACAGGCAGCCTTCATGAACTGCATTGGTCTGGAGGTTCCTGACCCATACATGCTCATGTTTGCCAACGAGAGTGCTGTGGATAACCACTGCCCGCAAGAGAGGATGGACTCCAATGGCAACACGCTGCATTCAGTGAGCTTGCTTTGTCTGTGGACAGCGGTACTCTGTCCTTCTTCTTCTCTTGTTGGATGGAATATCACCTTCAAGGTGTTTGAAGGAGCAGTGATGGGTGAACAGTTTGTGGACTTTCTGAAGGAGTTTGTGGTGAGTTTATCATCTATTCCGCAAGATAATAGACTCATGTTTTACAGATCCTATTAACAACACCTTGTTCAGGCCCGGACAACTGCAACATCCATCATTCTGACAAGGTTTGTAAGCTTATCAAGGAACAGGCATGTAAGTCTATCCCCACCGTATTTGTATGCATCATATTCTCAACTGCCACTTACAGTGTGCAAGTTGATCTATCTGCCACCATACTCCCCCGGCTACAATCCAATAGAGATGGCTTCTTCCTTAATTAAGGCCCATCTTAGGCGCCATACGGAGGATCTTGCAGTCACAGATATCAGTGAGGCTTGCTACGCAGTAACACCACAGATGGCAGAAGGATGTTTCAAGGAAGCGGGATACATTTAGCTAACCCCTGTGAATGACAGTTCTACATATCATGCTCAGTCACTACAATGTAGTTAGGAGGGACCTTAACCCATTCATCACCTCTTGCAGCATCCAAATACCAAACCCGACCCTCGACCTCCAGATCTGGCAACAGCTGTGAGCCATCCCAGTCTTTATCGCACTTCATTGGCTTTCCCCAGAACGTATTCAGTCCCACCACAGTGCCATCTTCAATCAGAAGACTTCTCACAGATGTGTCCTCAGCATGAATGTGCACTCTGAGTTTGGGTCTATGATTTGATCTCAAATTTCCTGGGGTGTAAGGAAATTTTTAATCCAGATGAGCATGTGCATGTACAGTGTCAGTTGCCCCTGGTGTTCCACTGTCCCATAATATCCTGATCTTCTCCATAAAAGCTCAAGGCTTGCTCCTGTTAATCCATGCACAATAAAAGGACACGCTCCATCATCGGCATCTTCATCTTCTTCACTTGCATTTACAGCTGACACCTCAGGATCTACATTGGACTCCATGCTCTTTGAGTAATTTACGATCACAGGTGGCTCATCCTCAGGATATGAATTGATGTTGTCATAAGATATCTCAAGATCAGCATAGTCAATGTGATTGAGTTTGAGCCATTCAAGCGCATCCGCCACTTTGTTACGCCGTACTAGCATGGGTGTGCGCTTATACTCCTTAGAGGTTGGTTGGTTAGGTCCAAGGTACAAGAATGCTAACACTTCGCTCAATTCCTCACATCTAGGTGGCAGCACAGAATATATCTTGGGCATGGGAAGTGAATGGCTGGACCACATTAGCACGTAGCTTGGACATG